CTGTACTGCTTTCCACAGTGGTTGTATCACTTCACAATCCCACCAGCAGTGTATGAGAGTCCCAATCTCTCTACGTACTAGCCAGCATTTGTTATTTTCTGTCTTGTTGAACTTTGCCATTAGTGCTGTGGTTGAGATGGTATCTCATTGTTTTGATTTGCATCTCTCTGAGGGCCAGTGATCATGAACATCCCTTCATGGATTTGCTGGCCACCTGAATGTCCACATAATTTTCTATGCTGAGCTCGTTTTGTTTATGAATCGTGTTATCACTTCCTTCATTGCTATTGTTTTAATGTTTGCTAAATATTTGTGCTGGTCCTCTTTTTCATTTTGATGTGAAAGTTTATCATTTTTCTTTGAGGTTACCCTATGATTTATAGTTTTCTTCCCAAGTTTAGAACAGTCCATTCTATCTTGTAGTTGTCTTGACTTCCCTGTCATCTAGAAGATCTGTAACTACACAGTTATTTCCCTCCTTTTGGTTTGTGCTTGTCCATATTTGTGAATTGATGTCTCTGGTTCTCTGTTGACAATCTTGTAGGCTTATTTACTTTGGATATTTCCATAGCTGGATTGGTTTCTGGGTTATATCGTCATGTGTGTTAATGGTCAGTTGTTGTTGGCTGTTGTTGCTTGTCTGTCCAAAGGGCTCCCTTTAGCATCTCTTGTAAGAATGGTCTGGTTTTAACAAATTCCCTTAATTTCTGCTTATCTGGAAATGTCCTAATGTCACCATCATATTTGAGGGACCATTTTGCTGGGTACATAATTCTTGGTTGGAAATTTTTCTCTTTCAGTGTTTTATGTATATCATCTCATTGTCTTCTTGCCTGCATGGTTTCTGTTGAGAAATTCGAGCTTAGTCTTATTGGTTGCCCCTTGTAGGTAACTTTTCATTTTTCCCATGCTGCTCTCAGGATTCTTTCTTTGTCTTTGGTTTTGGTGAGTCTGATGATGATATGTCTTGGTGATTTTCTTTTGGGGTCTATCCTGTTTGGGGTTCGTTGGACTTCCTGAATGGATATATTCTCATCTTTCATCATACCAGGAAAATTCTCTTCCAACAAATCTTTGACAATTTTTTCTGTGGTTTTATTTGTCTGTTCCTATTCTGGAATTCCAATTACACGTAGGTTATTCCTTTTAATGGTAACCCACATGAGCCTTAGGCTTTCCTCATTTTGTTTTGATCTTTTCTCTGATTGATCTCTTTCCAAAGAAGTATTCAGGTATTTGCCTTCAATCTCTCTAATTCTCTCTTCCATTGATTTAATTCTACTTTGCCCATTCAGTGTGGATTCCTTATCAGACAGTTCCAATGCTGCATCTTCCTCAGGATGTATTTTGGGTCTGTATACTGGTCCCTTGTATCTCCTGCTTTATCTTACTTCTTTGTGTGCACTGTGATGCTCTTTTGTCTCTGAGGCATTGTGATGTTTTTTGTTTATATTTAATTAGTGATTGTATGCTGGCATGCCGCCCACAATTTTTGTTTTCTTTGTATGTTATCTATGTAAGCAGAATACTGTGCTGTGCTCCTCTGTTCACTAGTTGGCAGCACTTGTACGTACACTCACCACCTATCTTTTCCATTGCCTGCCTCCCGTATGTCCCTGCTGTCGTTGGCAAATGGAGCCTATTCTTAAGTCCCTGGAATCCGGATGAGAATGCTGTCACTTTAAATATCCAAAATGGCCTCCACTTGTAAACAATCAAAATAGCTGCACCCTCCAGACTGCTGAAAGTCCACAGCTCAGGTTGTCCTCCCTCCTTGCTGTTTCCCTTCCTAGTCATAGGCCACCAGCGCAGTCATCCCTGCAGCCCTTGATGACCAGGGCTGATCTTTAGGTCAATTCTCAGGTCCCAACACCACTTATATTTCCTACATAATTTTCAAGAGAATTTTGGGGAACATGGGTTATGAGGTTGGACATATGGGATGGGGTAGGTAGACAATGGGAGTCATTATAGGTTTTGGAACAGGGAAGTAGTGACATGGTGAAAATTAGTAAGATTGGCTAGTGTGTGTGTTGAGTGTATGGAGAAGAGGCTGCTACAGGCATCTAACTGTGAACCAGTGAGGGCCTAGTCTGGGTTGGAAAGGAAGGTACTTTTGAAAGATATCTCAGAGGAAGAATCCATGGACCCTCCAAACAGCCTAAGAGTGAATGATAAATGAGAGAAGAAAAAGTAGTGTCCATAGACCTCAAAGAATGATGGTGCTACTGGGGAAGAAAGGAAGTAATAGGAAAAGGGAACTAGTTTAGGGAGTTGAAGATAAGCTCAGTGTGAACATTCTGAGTTGGAAGTTAATGGGTTACACATGGGAAGGTTCTGGAACTGTGAGCTTTGGGGGCTTATGTGAGGGGGCCTTGGAATAGTTCTCCCAGAGTCTCCAGGTGATACCATGGAAGATACAAACTTGCCCCAGTGAGTGCTCAAGCAGATGAGCCTTTCACATGGAGGTGGACACTAGCCCTTTCCTGGCAGGAACCAGTTCTGCCATACCAGGCTTTTGTCTTTATATAGAACTAAAGTTTACTGCCTGGAACAGTGGGGAGAAAAAGGTAACTAACACATGAGCTGTGTACCTTAAGAGTATGCCAGTAATCCTCTGTATTTTACTTTTAAATTTTTAAAGTTAACTATGACTTTTTGGTCCTTGACCCTCCATAGACCAGCTGGTTAAGACAGAGGTCTTAAAGATCTGTAGCTCCCACACTAAGAAAAGTGGCCTAGTCCCTCCACAGTAGTCCATATGTCTTTCCTCACACTGCTTCCTCTTCATAAATATGGGACCATTCCCTCCATTCTCTGGCTTGAATTATCCGGTAGAAGAGTTGTTGTGGGATGGTGAGGCTGACATTCCAGGGCTGAGCAGAAGAAAACAGCTGTTCCTTTAGGGGAAAGAAGCAGGAGGAGCAGAAACAATCAGCCCGTCTCAGATCCAGCTGGCCCCAAATCTACCAGGCAGCTCAGTGAGCCCTCCCAGATCAGGCCAGTAGGAAGAGGGCAGCCTGTGTACAGTAAAAGAAGTCTGCCATCAAAAGGCAACAAGTCTCAGGCCCTGCCCCGGATGGTGACCCTTCCCTGTGGAATCCTCCCCTCTGACCTCCAGATCATTAATCCCGAGGCTGCCAAATGACAGTCATCCATCACGCCTGCTGACGAGCATGCCCGGCAGGCTGTGAAAGGACCCTGACCCCGCCCTCGCTGCTGTCCCCTGGTGCTCATTAGTAGCCCTTCCTGCTTGGTGCCAGGTTTCCTAATCAAGGCCCTGGCTCTGCTTGCTTCCCTTCAGGGCCAGTGGGCGGAAGCTGCTCTGACCCTCCCTCTTTCAGAGGGTGGCGTGATCAGTGGAGAGAGAATCGTTGAGTGGCTTTTCATTCCCCTGGAGAACTCTGTCCAGCAGCTCCTCTGACATGGCGGGGCACACAAGAGAAAAACCAATTTCTCCATCCTGTAGCAGGGCCAGTGTCGGCAAGTGTGGGGAGTAAAAGAGGAGAAAGCAGGCAGTATGCAAATAAGGAGTCAGGGATCAAGCTCAATTGGCATAACATACTATACAAAACATTGTTCCACCTACTACTTTGGCGAGTAGCGACTGGGACCTTAAAAGCTAGGAAGCTGCCATCTAGATGCAACAATGGGTCTCTCCTCGTCAAGAAGAAAGAAGAAAACCAAAATTAATGGAAACAACCAGTCCTAGAGACTGGTACACCATCCGATCTGCAACCTATACAACTATGAGACCAGAAGAACTAGATGGTGCCCAGCTACCACTGCCATCCACTTGGAAGGGATGTAGGAGATCCTGCATAGAGAGGGAGAACAATGTGGTACAAAACTCAAAATCATTTGGAGGCAAAAAAAAAAGAAGGTGGGGACCAGGTTTGCTGGTCCAATGGAGCCTGGTGTAACCACTGAGACTATGGCCCGTAGCTGCCCTTCAGGTCTGGAATTGAACCCACAACTGTGGTTTCCAGCCAAACAAAGTACAGGCATGTGAGTTAAACATTTACCTCAAGCAGACACACGCCCTGGAGAGAACAATCATGGGAGAAGGAAGGGCTGCTTATGCACAGGGAGATAGCTCAGGGTGCAGAAGAGTATGAAGGGATGGACACTGGGAGGAGGTAACTATGGGGAGGAAGTGGGAGGGGAGCTGCTGCATTGTAAATTTTGGTCAATGTCATGAGACAAAGTATATGTGAACTGCTGTATGAAAAGTGAATTTACTCTGTAAATCTTCACCCAAATCCTAATAAATAAATAAATAAATAAATAAAAATAATAAGGAGTCAGGGTGACACAAGCAGTCTGCAGTCCGCTGCCAACCTGAAGGCTAGCAGTTGGCACCCACCTGTGGCTCTGCAGATGAAAGGCCTGCTGGTCTGATTCCACAAAAGTTATAGCTAAGAAAACTGTATGGAGCAGTTCTTTGCACACATGGGATCCCAATGAATCAGAATAGACTCCAGGGTAGCTACCAACATGCACCTCAACACACTGTTACAGACTGTACTGAGTGCTATAAGAGATGCCCAGGGAGCTGTACCTGTGGGTAATTGGGACACGACCTACCCTGTGTAGGGAGTCAGAACAAGACTTCCCTGAGAAGGTGACAGCTGAGTAGAGGCAGAAGACTTCAGAGGAGTCTGAGTTGCCAAATCATCAGGAAACAGTATGGAATCTTACTGCTAGCCAGAAGATCTTAGAAATCATCCAGTCCAGCTCTCTTACTTAGCAGATGAGAAAACAGACCTCAAGAAGGTAAATGTTTTGCCCGAGGTCACACAGTGAATTTGACCTGTCCTGCTCACCCCCAAAGAGAACTGATCGTCTCCAGACTTTGGGGATTTGAGTCAAATTAAAATTACACTTCTAAGCAGATTCATGAACATTATTTCCAACTTAGCAAAAAAGTAGACAGACACAGATGTCTTTCTCTGCTTGGCGGTGACATATAACCCTGTTTCCTCTTTGCACAATCACAGGGACCCCCATCAATCGAATACCTATCATGGCCAAGCAGATCCTAGACCTGTACATGCTGTACAAGCTAGTAACAGAGAAGGGGGGCCTGGTGGAGATCATCAACAAGAAGATCTGGAGGGAGATCACCAAAGGCCTGAACCTGCCCACGTCTATTACCAGTGCAGCCTTCACCCTGAGGACCCAGTGAGTGGCCAGGGCCCTGGGCAAGGAAGCTGGGGTTGGAGAACGGGGAATGTTTTAACGTAGCAGAAAGACAGGAAATTCCACTGCACAGTTAGCAAAATGAATGGAATTCCTGAAGTGACAGTCAAGAGCTTTCTGAGGTGAATCCCTCACTAAACCTAAATAACAGTGAGAGCCACCTGTTACCAAGGGTCTCCTGTGTGGCAATACCTAACCATATTGTTTCATCTAAAGTTCACAGTCACCGCTGTAAAGCTGGTGTTATTCCCATTTTTCATATTATAAAACTTTGTCTCAAAGGTTCAGTAATCTGACCAAGGCCACACTAGCCAGTAAGTGATGGAGATTCAACCCTGGGCTCTGCCTCTGGAATCTTTCCCAGAGGCACCGTCTCCCAAACAGCACCTCCACACAAAGCTTGGCCCTTCTCACTTGGCCATCAGCCCAGGGGACCTAGAGAAAGGCAGGCAATCAGGCCCTCATCAGGAACGGTGAGCTATTTTTATAACCATTTGAGTTCATTACAAAGCTAATAGAAGCAGGGAAATTAAAAGTACCATTAGAGAATGAAGGGCTGAGGGGAATCTGTTCTTCTGGAACACGCTGGAAGCTCATTCCATGTTCTGTGAAGAACATGGAATGAGCAGCTGACGTATCAGTTGGGCAGCTTGTCTTGGCCTACATGGAAAGTGGAGGGGTTGTTAGGATTGTGCCAGGAAAAGTTGGGGACATAGCTATAACTAGACTAGCATTCTCCTTTTCAACCCTCTCTCAAGACTCTTGGGTGGAGTATTGCTTGTTGGGGCATCTGACACAAGAAGGACAGCACTTCCAGGTCCCACGCACAATGGGAAGAATTAACTCAGAGAAGAGTAAGGAGCTACAAAGACACTGCAAAACCTGGGCCCACTTTCTCCCAGGGCACTGAAAAGGGCACCAAAACAAACATGGAAACATTAGATAAGATGTTGTTTATTTCCATTAAGGAAAGGTGCCTCAAGTTTGAGCAGTGGTCAGAACTGTGGAGCAGCTAGAGGATCCTGGGGTGGAATGTGTTTTTCTCCTCCACCAGGTACCCCACAGTTGCCATCCTTCACCCCAGATATCTGCCTGACAGGCTACTTCAGAGCACCGACAACATAAACTGAAAGGTCTCTGGTGCCATGTTTTGGATTATTCTTGCTTCCTTCCTTTCAGGTACATGAAGTATCTGTATGCCTATGAGTGTGAGAAAAAAGCCTTGAGCTCTCCAGCCGAGCTCCAGGCAGCCATCGATGGCAACCGGAGGGAGGGCCGGCGGCCCAGCTACAGTTCCTCCCTCTTCGGCTACTCACCCACTGCTGCTACTGCTGCAGCTGCAGCCGCTGGGGCCCCTGCTCTTCTCTCTCCACCCAAGATCCGCTTCCCCATCCTCGGGCTTGGCTCCAGCAGTGGTACCAATGCCAGTAGCCCTCGGATCCCGCCAGCATCCACTCTCAGGAAAGGTCAGTAGAGCCCTCGGGGGAGGAGGAGGGGAAGATTGGTAGTGAGCCAAGTCTTCCTGTGCCCACAGTCAGGTTTGTTGGGTGGGAGGGTTGACTGGTCCAGCTCTTGTTCCTTCACAGGTGATGGAGTTCCAGTGACAACAGTGCCCGTAGCAAATCGCCTGGCTGTGCCTGTGACCTTGGCGGGCCAGCAGGCTGGCACCCGGACTGCCACACTGGAGCAGCTGCGGGAGCGGCTGGAGTCAGGGGAGCCTCCTGAGAAGAAGACGTCGAGGCTGTCGGAGGAAGAGCAGCGCCTGGTACAGCAGGCCTTCCAGCGCAACTTCTTCAGCGTGGCGCGGCAGCTCCCCATGAAGATCAGGATCAATGGCAGAGGTGAGCACCAGGCTCCGGGCAGATGCTTCCCTTCCTAAAGAGTGCCAGACCTCAACTCCACCGAGGGCCCACTCATGTCCTCCAGGATTGGGGCTGGGTGGTGAGGCTAACCTGGAAGGGCCATATCCCTGGCCAAGAAGAGAGCCCCTTGGGACCTCGATGGTCACCGAGATCTCAGCTCCAAGCTGAGGTCCTTTCTAGGGGACCAGGAATTACCTCAGGCAATTCCCTGTTCTCTAAATAAAACAAACTCACTGCTGTCAAGTCAGATCCGACTCCTAGCGACCCCTCCTTGGGTTGCTGAGGCATTACCACTACGGAAGTAGATTGCCCAACCTTCCTTTTGAGGAGTGGCTGGTGGGCTTGAACCACCAGCCTTCTGGTTAGCAGTCAAATGCCTAAGGCACTATGCCACCAGAGCTCCCAAACCAAACTCACTACCGTTGAATCGGATCTGACTCATAGTGACCCCCTTTTTAGGTTTCCAAGGCGGTATCACTATGGAAGTAGATTGCCCAATCTTCCTTCCAAGGAGTGGCTGGTGGGTTTGAACCTCCAGCCTTCTGGTTAGCAGTCAAGTGCCTTAGGCACTATACCACCAGAGCTCCCTGTTCTCTTGTGAAAAGGTAAAGCAGTTATTCAAGGAGGAGGAGCCAGAGACCTTCAGACACAGCTGCCGTTTTCCCTCCCACTAGTCTTTTGAAGTGTCTGAATTAAATTAGAAATTAAATTAGGTGCCTTCAGCCCAGCACCTCACCGGATGGAGGCAGGAGCAGGGCATGGCCATCTGTCATTCCTGAGCCTCATTGAGGGGCCAGAGCTGCCCCAGGCTCGCATCAGCCTCACATGGGTGTGTGTGCTGGCGACCCTCAGGAACAGCAGGGAAGGAGGAAATACAAGTCCGGCAGCATAACTGACATCCTTCCTCTTCCCCTCCACATTTTTCTACTGCCTCACCCTCTCTTCCTCTGAATCGCACACTCCCATCTCTCCCTTGTTCCTCTTTCTCCCTTTCTGCCTCACACACATTGCTTTGCTGTTCTTGCCCTTGACTCTGTCTCAGAACAATCCGGAATCAGCATGTGTTGGGAGGCAGTCGGGGGTGAAGGGAGCTGGTGCATATTCCCAAGCAGCCCCCTCCCTGTCACATTTCCTCCCACCCAGTAGTAGCTTGAAGAAACTGGGAGAGGTAGCAGCCTCTTGAGCTGGGCTTTGTTCTCCATTACCTGTTCAGGGCCAGTTGTCTTGGTCCTGTACACAGCCAGAGGCTGATGGAGAACACAGCTCACCTGGGAGACTTCTTGGCTCTCTGTGTGATGAAAGGAGCAGAGTCTGAGGCAGGCAGAGGCCCTGGCTGCCAGTGTGATGCCTGCAGCTTTCCAAGAACATCAGATGCTTGGTTTAGATGGAGTGCCCAGTCTGGGCCAAGTGCTAGGGAGGTAGACCCCTCTCCTGGAAGATCTCACAGCCCCATTAAGGGATCTCTTATCACTGGGAGGAGGAGGCAAAGGAGTCTTCAAATGCAGGGACTGGCTCTTACTGATACCTGATTTCCCAGGACCTATTGCAAAGTGGGTGCTCAGTGAGGATCTGCTGAATTAGAAGGTAAAAGGTCAAGCTGAGGTCAGCTCCTTGCTGTGTGCAGCCTCCTTGCTCTGAGAGCAGAGGATTTGGGGAATGAACTGGCTGAGCAGAGAGAGCAAGCAGCAGGAAGTTGACAAGCCTGCCAGACCTTATGGTCAGGAGAAGGCAATATAGCTCGTTTCTAACAATGTGAGGCCTTGGCCTGGTGCTACTGGGCAGGGAGAGTGAGGCATATCAGAGAGGACCATGGAAGGCTTGTCTAGGCCCGGGCTCTCCCTTGTCCCCAGCAGAAGACAGATCGGAGGCCTCAGCTGCAGCCCTGAATTTGACCACAAGCAGCATCGGGAGCATCAACATGTCTGTGGACATCGATGGCACCACCTATGCAGGTGAGGCTCTTGAGCTCTCGGGGAGGCCCAGCCCCAGCACACTCCCAGCTGGCTCTGCTAGTCTCCTCTGTGTAACCTTCCCTGGAATGGCTTCCCTTACATAGTCTCAAGATTCCAAAAGTAACATGGTTCTTCTGGAGTGGCAGATTGCATCACCTGGTGGAAGGATAGGAACCCTTTGTCCAGCCCTCCTGGACCAATGGTTGATTCATTATTTGAAATAGTCATTTAATGTGAGGAATCATAATCAATGCTACCTACATGCCTAGAACATTATGTTCTAACTTAGGTCCATGTCCACCCTGTCTTCTGATGCAGGGCCAAACCCTTTCTTTGACTATGGGTCAGTCCTTCTCTTTCTTTCATAAAACACATTCATGTTACGTCATCTGTCATTTCTCTCTTTAAAATGAACCAAGGACTAAGACCCAGGTGAAGCAATTTGAGTGCACCAGAATCATCCGATAGTCATTTTTTCTCCAGTCTTCTACAGTTGTCTCTCCATGAACCTCTTTTGGAAGTAGTTTTTTTGGTCTATTAATTTGTTTAATTAGCACCTTTACCACGTCTTTCCAAGGCATTCAACTTATTTCTTATTTTATTTCACTGGCGTAAGTGTGAGCTTGGGAACAAACCTGCTGACTCGTTAAGCACAGCTTGATGAGCAGGAGCCTGAGGCCCCCAGCTCTCTAGGGGGCGGCTCCTTCTAGGGCTGCACCATTGGTTCATAGTGTGTTGGCCATTCGGGGAGGTGTCCACTGAAGATGGCTAAAGTCTTCAACTGCACCTTCCATCAAAACTAAGAGCATTTGCTCAGGGTACACACCTGTGCTTTGAAAGTTTCTGGGGGCTAAGCCCCCTACAGGAGACCGTAGGTAGTGCAAACAGTTAAACTCTGGACTACTAACCGAAAGGTTAGTGGTTCAAGTTCACCCAGGCGTGCCTTGGAAGTAAAGCCTAGCAACCTGCTTCTGAATGTTACAGCCTTGAAACCCTTGTGGAGCAGTTCTGCTCTTCACACATGGGGTTGCTGTAGGTCAGAATCAGCTCAACAACAACAAATAAGCCCCCTCAGAGCGCCACCCTCCAGGCCTCTTGGGGACTCCCTTGTGTATTGGATCTCCCTTGGTCCATCCATGTTGGGGATCAGAGTGGGGGCCAGGGAAGGGGACAAAAGCTGCCGAAGCAGCTTCCAGAGAAGCTATGGTACCAGGGTGACTAGCCACTCATCTGAATAGTGACTATGTAGTCTACAGGCCACATTCAGGTGTGTCTGCCTAACACAGAGGTCCCAGGAGGAGAACCAGGTCTACTCTGGCTGGGCAAGCCAGCAGGTAGGCCTGGATGCCCATCACCTTGTGATGCTGTGGTGGTCCAGAAGGTTTGGAAGTTGGGTGTGCATTCATGGAGAGAGCAAGGAGGGAGGAGAGCAGTGCCTGGATCCTGTTATCCTCTCATCGCTATCCCTGAGAAAGGCAGAGATGACTTCTCCTTCCCTCTTAGAATGGGGCAGAGTCAGAGGAGAGTTTAAGTCTCCTGAAGAGGAAAGAGCCAGCCACCTTCCCCTCTGCCTTCATCCCTCTGCCCACCCTGTGCTCTTCTCAGTGGAGACACAGCTGCCAAGGCCAGGAACCCAGGAATCCTTCCTGACAGCTCCCTCTCTTCCTGTTACAGTAGCTTCCTCATTCCTACTCCTCCAGATCCTAGAGTGTGAAACACAGATGTTGTGATGCCCCTCGCCCACTTAAAACTCGGGCTACCCATCCCCTCAGAGCTGCCTAAGAGGTGCACAAGGCCTCCATTACCTCTTCCTCCCATCTTCCCAGCTACCTCTGCTGCCACTGCTGCCTTCATCAGACTGTGGTCATACCAAATCCTGTGTCAGCCTCCACAGCTTTGCTGCCTCTCACTGCTGTGTCTGTCTGTGTTCCACGGGTTTCCTCTGCCCGGGACACCATCCCTTCCTTCATTTGGCCACTTTTCCCTCCTTCAGCACAGGCACCCTCTCCCCTGGAGCCTTTCTAGGCTAACCACCTCCTGTCCTTCAAAATCTTCTGTGTTTGCAAAGTACCTCAGGTACCCATCCTCAGAGCATTCGTGACATTGTAAAAAAAGTTCCTGTTTACTCCTCTGCGCCCTCACTGGGCTGTAAGTATCTGAAGGCAGGACAGTGTGTGAGAGCTCTAGGTCATAGCCTTGTGTAGAGGGAGGCAAACAGTAAGTACTTGTGAAAATGAGCTGGCCCTGCCCTTCTCTTGTCGTCTGCCTACACTTGCTTCTCCCCCGACCCTGCCCTAGGTGTTCTGTTTGCCCAGAAACCTGTGGTCCACCTCATCGCAGGATCTGCTCCCCAGAGCGTCGGCAGCAGCACCAGCAGTAGCAGCAGTTCTCACTGCTCGCCAAGTCCTACCTCATCCCGGGGCACCCCCGGGGCAGAGCCCTCCACCAGCTGGTCCCTCTGACGGGCAGACCCAGCTTCCCACTCCCGCTCTCCTGTCGAGAGTGAAGGACGTTGATGCACAGAATTTACCTCATCTCACGGAGCCCACGTCGAACACCGTTTGGCCCTACATGAAGGGTTTATCCAGGCTCTATTCAGGTCCTGCTGTACTCTGGGGGCAGGGAGAGGCTGGAAGGGCAGGACAAGGCAGCGTTGTCCAATCAGGGATTGTCCTGGAGAACTGGGCAGAGGTCTGTGGGTGGCCAGCTTCCTCCAGGGCTCTCAGGTCACCTCCCATCCCGGGGCACAGTGTATCGACAATCTGTAAGCCGACACAGGGCTGGAGGCCCTCTCTGACCCTTCCCCTTAATTTATTTCCTTTCCCTACCTTATGCCATGACTCCAGGGTCACTGGTCTCTCCCCTGCCCAGTCCCCCATTTTTTAACTCTCACGTGGGCATGCTAGGAGCCAAGAGCCTGCCTTCATGGCCTTTTTCTGCTGAGCATGGGAAGGGGCCCTCCCAACCCACCTTGCCTACTGGGTTTGGCTCCTGGGGGTGCTTCCCTCAAATACAAGTCTTGAATCACTCCTCAGGGCCCCATATCCCTTTAATGGAAGGGTCCATGAGGGCAGTTTTCAGGTCCCAGTCCACTGCTGAGGGGAAGGCAGAGCTCAAGGCAGCCCATGCCCTGGCACCCACCTGACCCTGACCCTTCTCTGAACCTTCCCCCTGCTCCCCTCTCACCTTTGTTGGCTGGCTCTCCCAACAATAGCCCCTTGTCCCTTGGGCCACCCTTCATCTCATGGGGTAGTTTCAGCCCCCACCTCCCCTCAAACCTGCTGATGTCAGGTTCATTGAAATACCTCAGATTTGTAATTGTTGATGTTTGAATCTTCAGGAAGTATTTGCATATCTGAAATCTTTTTTATATGTGTTTTGCTGACTTTTTTTTTTTTTTTTAATTTTTAAAATTTTTATTATTGTTGTTGTTGTAGCACCAAAGAATTGAAAGCAGATCACCCCCAAAGCCAAACAAACGATTTGGTTCCCCAGCCCCTCAGCCCTTCCCTGAGACCCCAGTGAGGTGGTGGGGGAGGCAGGCGAGAAAGAAGACTCAGGGATCATAGTGGTGGGGAAAGAGGTGGGTGGAGAGTCCCTCTCTCACACCAATCAGGGCCTGAAATCACCATTTCCTGCCAAAGCAGGACTTGTTGTGGACCCCTTCCCTAGCCCCACCCATATAGGGGCAGGACATCTCCCCTCACTCAACAGTCCCACCTCAGGACCTGAACCAGCCATGGAGGCTGAGGTCCTTGCTGGCCTTGCAACAGGTCAAGCTGCCAAGGGAATGAGGCAATGCCGAGAGCCCAGTCTCTCCCCTTGGACCCTGAGGTGGGGCAATTGCTCTTTTGTTGTGAAGAAAAGGTGATTTCCTGCACAAGGCTCACCTCTCAGTCATCTAGGCCCTGAAGTGTGCAGTATACTGAGCACCATCCACTGTGACATCGTAGGGCAGTGGCGGTGGCGGTGGTGGACCACACCAGCACAAGCCCATGGCACAGCTAGCATTTAAACCTGTCTAGGAAAGGAAAGGAAAATAAAAAGTTTGAGCACAAAACAGATACCTCAGCCTGGTAAGCAGCACCTCTGCTGGATTACATATTCTCTCCCCTCTCCATACTCTTCCCACACAAACACACTCTCACAGCTCCATGCACTGGGGCAGACCCTCTTCTGGCCTCAGAAGTCATACACACCAAGCATGTGCAGGGTGTGGGTGAGGAAGGGCACCTGGGATCTGGTGCCAGGGAGAGGCCTGCTTGGCTAGCCCTGGCCCACTTGAAGGTGTCTCAGACATTTGGCCAGTGCGTTTTTCTCAGGGGTTTGGTCACAAAGGATGGACTCTTCCCATCCAGAGCACACAGGGACAGTGTACTATTTCTGGTCATTGGGTCCTTCCCCTTCCCCTAGGCCGCTTGCCCAGCCTCACCCTCTGAACGAACCCTTGCTGCCTTTAAGGACAGCAGCAGCGTCTCAGCCAGAGGCCCAAGTGTGGTGGTGCCAGCAGGTGCCCCGAGAGTGGGGCCCTGACCCAGGAGGTGCTTTCCCTAAGGTGCGATCCTGAAGGCCGCACGGTAAGCAGGTGGCCAGGGCAGCTCCACCCCTCCCCCTCCCACCCGTGTATGTTTTCTAACCAGGAAAATGTGATAGCACATGGGTAGCCTAGGCGGTGGATAAAAATACCTCAGACGTCTCCTTGAAGCAAGTGTCTGTATATGTTGTGGTTATTTTCTATCTTACATGCTCTCGAATGTTTATATTTCAATAAACCTCTACCTCTTCACACAAGCAGATCTCTCTAGGTTGATTTGGGTGAGTCTTCCATTGGGCGGTAACGGGAGAAGTGGATCCTTCTAAATAGAAAGGGAGTGGCTGAGCAGCTCCTCTGCTCCCCAGATTTTCCTGACGCTTCTCCTTGTCACTGCTTCCTCTTCCTTCCCCCAGACGGCTCACTCATGCTGAGCATATCTTCAGTATTAGCAGGGGACTCAAGCATTGCCTGGTTACCAGAACTAACTCCAGAGGTGTCATACCACTGTCCTTGCAAGCACACAGTCAGGGAAGCCCTTTTCCCATTTAGCAAAACCCTTTTTGAGCTCATCCTGCCACATCCACACTAAGAATAAGCTGTGGTCCCTGCACTTACAGAGCTCACAGTCTTGGCTAGGAAATGGACATTATGTAGGCAAACCGATTACTTCCAGTACAGCATGCCAAGACTGAAGAGTAGGATACCATAGGCAGATAAGTTGGAGCTGCTCTTTCTGGAATCTCTAGAAGGCCTCCCAGAGGTGGTAACATTTAAGTTGGAAGAATCTGTTTGCCAAATGGGCAAGTGGAGGAAGAGTATTCCTAGCAGAGGGACTGATGGATACAGAAACATCATAGTATCCAAGGGCCTGGTGTGGGGAATGGTGGCCAATGCCAAGCTTGGGGAGGGTTGGGACAAGAGTGAGGCTGGGGTCAGAGCAGATGCTAGCCTTAGGGATTAGGGTTCTGTCCCCTGAGCATCAGGGCACTGCCAACATGTTTAAACCAGAACATCGACTTAAAAGGTGGCTTTTCTAGAAAGCATCTCTGATCTCTGACAAGATGTGAAGCCAGGAGATATGCTGAGCACCCAGCCCCTGGAGTCACTGCCACTAGAACTCAGGCCTTGACCTAGAGTTCTCAGCCTGTTTGCATGGTACATACTCCCACAGGTACAACAAAGGATTTGGCAAGACCAAAAGAAACATTCAGAGAGATAAAGTGCTGAGTGAATTTGTTTGTAATTGCCCTCCATGGATTACAGCATCTCCCCAGGGGTGACATGAGCTTGATTTCAATCAGATGGGCTGGCACCTCTGTGCACTTTGCTGAGGCAACCTAATGGGACCCCTTTTCTCTGCCTCAGAAGAGAATAAGGGTGACGGTGGGAGAGTTTTGAACCTCTTTCGTTTTGAAATCTTTTCAAAGAAATAACCAACCTCTCAGAATTTTAATTAACTGCTAATCAGTTGTTAGTCTCACACCTCACAACTTCCTGTAACAATCCACGGGCTTCCACATACATGGTGGTTAAGATCTCAGACCTTGTCCAGGAGGGAGCTGAGAGGATGAAGAGGAACTAGGGTCCAGAAACATCTGAGATGGAAACAGTGCTTAATGACTGTATGGTGGGTGGTGGTGGGGCCTGCTGAGGGAGAAGTGGCAGCTAAGTAAGACTCGCTGATAGAGATGGAGACTTCGGGAGGATTGAGGCGCGAGGCCACTGCAATTCCATTCCATTTCCAATTAACAGAAGAAAATATAGGAGAGTATCTCAGAGACCTTGTGATAAGGAGTTCTCAAACTTGACCCCCAAAAAAATTTCACCATAAAGAAAATGAAAGGACCACAAACTGGGAGATGATACTTAGAATACATAATTAACAATGTAGTAATAGCTAGGATATACTTTTAAAATGTATATTAATGTTAAGGAAAAACAGGGAAGAAGGGAGAAAGTCTTGAACAGGCATTTTTCAGAAAAGGAAAGGCAAGTATGACTTGACCTCGGTGGTGAGGGAAATGCACAAGAACCCATTTCACACCGTCAAATTGGCACACATTTTTGAAGTACGATACTGGGTCTTGGTGAGGATGAGAACATGCGTATACTGATGGGGAAGTGTAAATTATCTAACCAATATGGAAAACACTTTGGCATTAGTAAAGCTAAGCATGCACGCACCCTGTTGTGTGCTATCAAAAAAAAAAAAAAAAACCCACTGCCGTTGAGTCGATTCCGAGTCTGACTCGTCATTGGGTTTCCAAGGCTGTAAATCTTCATGGAAGTAGATTGCAAGTATATTGCTGTCCTCCCATGGAGAGCTCTGGTGACGTAGTGCCTAAGGCACTTGACTGCTAACCAGAAACCAGAAGGCTGGCAGTTCAAACTCACCAGCCACTCCTCGGAAGAAAGGTTGGGCAATCTACCTCCGCAGTGATACTGCCTGGAAAACCCAAGGAGGGGTCCCTATGAGTTGGTCGGAGTCTACGGGCAAATAACAACATGGTGCAGCAGCTGGTGGGTTTGAAACACCAACCTACTGATTAGCAACCAAATGCTTTACTCACTATGCCAGCAGAGCTCCTCGTGCACTGTCCAGGTGATTCCAATTTAGAGACCCTATGGACAATAGAACCGCCTTATAGGGCTTCCTAAGGTGAAATCTTTAGGGGAGCAGGTCACTAGGTCTTTTCTCTGAGGAGCAGCTGATGATTCCTCTTAACACCACTTAACCACTGTGCTACAGAGGGTCCTTGTGCAGGAGCCCGGGAAAAAAAAAAAAAAAAAACTGCTATCGAGTGGAACTCCCAGGCGGTTTCTCTAGGGAAGTAGATTGCCCAGTCTTCCTTTCGAGGAGCGGCTGGTGAGTTTGAACCGCCAGACTTCTGGTTAGCACCCAAGTGCCTTAGGCACCACACCACCAGAGCTCTTCCACTCCTATGTGTGTGCCCCAAGGATAAGAAGGTTCACAGCAACACTTGACTGTGAAACAGCCAATTATTTAATACTGATAGGATACCAGGAGCTGTTCTAAGTTACTTACATGAATTAGCTCATTTAATCAACACATTTATGAGAGAGTACTGTTACACCCATTTTGCTGATGAGAGAACTGAGGCACAGAGGGTAACTAGCCCGGGGTCCCATAGCTGAAAATCTAGGACAATAATTAAGGCTGCGAACCCAACATCAGTGAGTGCTCCTAATTACAAGTGCTAAGCACTTTATATTGGTTCGTTTCATACTCTGCTGACAGTCTTAGGAGGTAATTATTTTGTTCACTTTACAAATGGAGTAACTGAAGAACAGAAAGGTTGGGGAATTAACTTGCTTGAGGTCACGTATCTAGCGAATGGCAAGGCTGGAAGTGGACTCCAAAATCGCTGCCCTTAACCTCTCTTCAGTGAGAGGGAGAGGTAGCCCAGGTCGGTGACCAGCAGGAGGCAGAGGATCAATAGGATGTTCAGTTTTCCCCATATTCCTACTCTGCTATTCTGAGCCTAGGAGCTCCGGTAGCATAGTGCCTAAGGCACTTGACTGCTAACCAGAAGGCTGGCGATTCAAACCCACCAGCCACTCCTCGGAAGGAAGGTTGGGCAATCCTACTTCCGTAGTGATACTGCCTCGAAAACCCAAGGAGGGGTCGCTATGCGTCGGGGCCGACTCCACGGCATATAACAACAACAACAACATTCTGAG